GTGTGTGGTGTGTGTGGTGTGGATGTACGTGCGTGTGTCCCTGCAGCCCTTCTGTGGCTGGCACCATGACCCCGAAGGGGAGTGGCACGTCTAAGTCCACAGCGCAGAGATGAGTGGGGTCCGCCTGACGGCAGCGTGGGTACGTGTTGGGGGGGCTCTCCCTGAGAAACGGCCTTCCCGAGTCCGGAGTCCCGAGTCCCGCTGGTGCTTGTTCTGGGGTCTGAATCACCGAGGAGGCGGGAGCGAGTCCCCAGGCCCTGGAGGTGTGCGTGCTGCCCTGAGGGTGCGGCTGTTCCCTCCGGCCTCTCTCCTGGGGGCAGCAGGCGGCTGGGCCTGAGTGTTTCCTGGGGGCAGCCACGGGAGGGGGTTCTGGGGCCCAGCACAGCGCCGGTGAGCCCCGGTGAGCGCCCGAGGGACGCGGGCGCCGCCTGCAGGCCGGAGAGCGCAGTGCAGGTACCGGGCGGTGGAAGGAAGCGATTCAAGTCCAGCCCACGGGGGCCGGAGCCAGAACGTGCTGGCGGCTGCAGCCACGGACTTGAGACCGTGAGCCACGTTTCAAAATATCGCTTTTCGGGAGCACCTTCTGTCACGTGGTCCATTCTTGCTCTCCGGGTTGGGGGCCCCCAGCACCCCATCCCCTGCAGGCCTCCGGGATGGCGGTGGACGCCGGACGCCGGTCCAGGCTCCGCGTGGGCAGCCCTGCTCCCCGCCAGCCCGGCAGAGGACAAGCTTCACAAAGGAAATGGAATGTGTTGTTATTGGCGGGGCCAAGATGAATTATGTCTTGAAATCTGCTTTATAAATAAACTTGCACATAAATTGTCCATTCACCGCTTGGAAATCTCTTTTTCATGTGAGAAGAGCTGTCAGAGGCCCCTAATAAACATGAGCCTTATTTAGTTTACTGGATATGTAATTCTTCTTTTCTCTGAAAATAATTATTTTTCAAGCAAGTGCAGCAAAAATACAACCAATAAAAATCTAGCTATGCCAGCATAAACAACATTTACGGCACAGAGACACGCTCTCTCCTAAGACAGACTGGGAGGGGCACAGGAGGTTTCGCCGGGACAAGAGGCCGGGGTCCGCCGCTCTGTCCTTGGCTGGGGCTCAGCGGGACATGGCCCCGAATCTGGGCAGCTGCAGAAAGGGGCTGGGAGGTTCCCTTCCCAAGACTCCCTCTGCAGTGCTCGGAGTGGGCAGTGGGGGCAGGACCCAGAAATTTCACCTCTGCCTCCCGCATTCCAGGACACGCTGGTGGTCTGGAGGCTGGAAGGGGCCAGGAGGGACCTGGGCACTTGGGTCACTGGGGAGAAGAGAATCCAGGGGCTGCACTTGGGGCTCTGCTGGTCCCCACCCGCCCGGGGACCCCTCCCCGCCTGCAGCCTTGCTGGGAGCCACCCCGGCCATGGCCCCCGAGCAGACAGGGGTGAGGCTGCTGAGGGGAGCAGGGTGTCCGCACTGATCTCAGGCGACTCCTGGGCTCGGAATTAGGGAGCTCTAAGCAGAGCCAAAGGTGCTCACTGATGCTTTCACGGCTGTTCCAGAGAAGTTTGGCCCGGGAGAGAGCAGGCATGAAGGGACCATCTCAGGGCGAGTCTGCTCTACGTCCTCTTCCCAACTCCGTTAGTCTCTGGAACATGCCCTCCGGTGGGAGCGGCTCTCCCTCCCCCCCCCCCCACCTTGGGGCTGGGGTAACTGGGTGGGATCTCTTCCGAGAGGGTGCCTCTCACCCGTTTCACCCGGCGACACATTCTAGAGTCTTCTCTTGCCGGTGTGCCCCTGCCTCCCCGCCAGACCCCATGTCTCGCACCCCACTGAGATCCGGCCGTGGGATCCTGCCCCTCCCTGTCCGTGCAGACGGGGTGATGGATGTGCATCTCCCTGGGGCATGGCAGCACCCAAAGGGGCTCCTCACTCCCCTCACACTCCACTGTCGCCTTCTAGCAGACATTCCTGGATCAGGACCAGGAGAGGGACCGACCCCCCCTCTCCTATTGCCCCTCCCCCTTCTCTTCCTCCCTTCCCCTCTTCCTCCTTCCCCTCCCCTCCCACCCTTCTCCTCTCCTCCTCCCCTCCCTCTCCCTCTCCTTCCCTCTTTCTCTCCCCGTCTTGAACATGGGGCCACTCATGGATGCCCCTAAGGCTCTCCCAGGCCCAGAGCCCCTAATTCCTGGTCCCCAGGGGCCCCTTTCCTGACACCCCGGCAGGGTCACCAGCTGACTGGGGGGGGCTGCCCTCACAGAGGGCAGGGGGGTGAGGGTGCCCGGGAGGGCCCATGTTGGCACTGGCTCAAGAACTCGCTTTCCTGTGGGCTTGAGCCTTTGAGAAACACCTAGGACAAAGGAGAAGGCCAGTCAGAGGGTGTAGACAAGGGCAGAGCACTGTAGCCAGACCCAGATGGCGCTGTGGGGGTGGCCAGATGCCCCCCGCCTCCCTCTGGGGCTTGGGGAACTGGTGGGGGCAGGGTAGTGATCTGACTGGGTCCATGCGGACTCCAGGCAGATGTGTGTGGGTTCTGGAGCCTGGAAGGCACCAAGTGCCCCTGAAACAGCCCTAACGTGGTCACTCAAACGAGGTTGGGCTCAGGCCCCGCATCTTGTCCATTTCAGCTTGGCTTTTGGGCCACACCCAGCAGTGCTCAGGGGTCACTCCTGACAGGGTTTTGGGGACTCTATGGGGTGCTGGTCCAACAGTAGCACCAGTCACCCTCCCAGGAAGCCCCTCTCCGCAGATGGAAGCGACGGGGAAGGTCCGGCAAGGGTGGAGGGGTGGTGACCATAAAGGGCGGACTGTGAGAGCCCTAACACCTCTAGGGTGCAGAGCTGACCAGCTGGCCGGTGCCACCCACCACCAGATGGAAGCTGTGGTTGGCACTTTAGGGTTAAACCTGGTGGTTCCTGGGCCCAGCTGGCGCTGGTGTTAGGCCAGAGTCCCCTACACACAAGACACAGGCCCCTGAGTCACATATAGTTGCATCTTTTATTTTCCACATAATTTTAACTTTTAAAATTTAGTTTTGGTTCTTGCACCACTGGCTACTTTGAGCTTATTCCCAGAGGGGCTTATGGGCCCCTGCGGGTTGCCTGGTATGAAAACTGGGTCAGCTGTGTGCCCTCTAAAACAGGGCCAGAGAGGTAGTGCAGGACATAAGGACTTGCCTTGCATGCAGACGACCCCAGTTAGACCCCAAACACTGCATATTGAGGTAGGCAGGTATATTAGGGAAGGGCCCTCATGGCAATGGAATTCCTGCCAGCTATCCCCAAGGCTGTCAGGATTCACCTTGTGGGTATAGGAACCAAGGCCTGATCAGACCTTTGACTGGAGCTAGCCCAGACCCTGTGCCCCCCACCCAAGAGAAGTTCCAACAGCAACAAAAACCCAGAAAAGAGTTTCAAGGAAGACCCTCAATTACTCCTAACTTTAGCCCCCTGGCAACCACCCTAGCAAATGGCTCTTATCTAGGGAGAAGACCCCACGTGGGACAGCTTGGAAAACCCTGTACAAGCCCACCCGAACAAAGGAATCTCGTGCACTGCTGCCGGAGCCCAGCCCACGTGCTGCCGGTGTCCGCGAGTCTGATCACGTTGCCTGCATCCCCCTCTTGTGTACTGGGGCTCTGTCCTGCATTCTCTCTCTCTCTCTCTCTCTCTCTCTCTCTCTCTCTCTCTCTCTCTCTCTGCTTTGTGGGTCACACCTGGCAATCCTCAGGGGTTGCTCCTGACGGTGCTGGGGGGTGGGGTGGGGGTGCATCACATGGTGGGGATTAACTCCTGTGAGAGGCAGAACAAGTAGATGTCAGGTGTGGCTTGATGGCCACCTAGTGGGGCTGGCTGGTTCAAGCTGGGTAGGGGCTCACTGCAGACTTCATCAGCCTTCCCAGCCTGGGGTGGCAAGAGCTGCCTGAAGAAAGCGCTGTCTCTCTCTCCTCCCCGCCTAAGTCGCAGCCTTCAATACAACCCCTGAGCACTATCCCGATCACTCCTTCCGACCATCCAGACTGTTCATTCAGACCTCCTGGGGGATGGCCCCAAAGTCAAAACACCGCCCACCATCTAGAAAAAGTGGTCACGGACAGTGGTCTGCTCTGCAACACTGTTGCGGTTAGTAGCAGTCTCTGGGCAGTAGTCCCTCTCTGCAACACTGTTGCGATTAGTGGTATTCTCTGGGTAGAGGTCTGCTCTGCAACCTTGTTGCGATCAGTAGCACTCTCTGGGTGGTGGTCTGCTTTGCAACACTGTTGTATAATTAGTGGCAGTCCCTGGGCGGTGGTCTGCTTTGCAACACTGTTGCGATCAGTAGCAGTCTCTGGGTAGAGGTCTGCTCTGCAACCTTGTTGCGATCAGTAGCTATCCCTGGGCGGTGGTCCTGCTCTGCAACACTGTTGCGATCAGTAGCAGTCTCTGGGAGGTGGTCTGCTTTGCAACACTGTTGCGATTAGTGGCAATCCCTTGGCGGCGGTCCTGCTCTGCAACACTGTTGCGATCAGTAGCTATCCCTGGGCGGCGGTCCTGCTCTGCAACACTGTTGCGATCAGTAGCTATCCCTGGGCGGTGGTCCTGCTCTGCAACACTGTTGCGATCAGTAGCTACCCCTGGGCGGTGGTTCTGCTCTGCAACACTGTTGCGATTAGTGGCAGTCTCTGGGCCGAGGTCCGCTCTGCCACACTGCTGCGAATAGTAGCCCTCTCTGCGTTTATCTGACACTGTTGCATTCCGGGGCAAATCTCTACAGGGTTCATCGAAAAATCTCTGGCATTTGAAACTCGCGGTCTGCAAATCCTCGCCGCGGCCCGGAACGCTTCTCGCGCGACTGAGGGCCCAGCACCGGCCGGGCCCGGGGGCAAAGGGAAGCCCGGCCCGGCCCCCGCGGCGGCCCGGGTCCCTCCCGGGCGAGCCGCCGCCGGACCCTCGCCCGCCGCCCGCGCGAGCCCGCCGGAAGCGCCGCGGAGCCCGCCGGCCGGAAGTCCCGCCCGCGTCACAGTGCGCCGGCGCGCGGGGCGGGGCCTGTTCGCGCAGGCGCGCGGGGCGGCGGCGGCGGCGTCATGGCGGCGGGGGCGGCCGAGGCGGCGGCCGTGCTGGAGGCCGCGAGCGCGGGGCGCTTCGAGGAGCTGCTGCGCCTCAAGGCGGGGTGAGGGCCGGGGCGGGGTCGCGGGGGGCGGGGGGCGGGGGGCGCGGTCGCGGTCGGGGTCGGGGCGGCCGTGCGGGACCCCCGAGCCCGACACGCGCCTCTCGCAGCTCAGGGCGCCTGGACGGACCCGGGCCGAGCTGGGGGTCCCCGCCCGGCCTCGCCCCGCCGACCCCCGACCCCCGACCCCCGACCCCGGCCCCCCTGGGTGCAGCCGCTGCAGCCCCGAGCGGGCGCGGGCCGAGCCCGGGGATGATGCAACGGCGCGACCTCGGGGGACGCCCGCGGGGACTCCTGGGGGGACCCCTGGGGGGGCCCTGCCGAGCCCTCCCGCCCCGTGCTCGGGCCCACTCGGCCCCGGGACCCTGCTGGACCCTGTTCGTGCCAGGGACCGAGCCTGGTGCTTGCTGGGGACTGAGCCGCTGCTCCAGCTCCCGCGCTGCATTTTTTTTTTCTTTTTTTGAATGGAAACGGAAGCATTGGAGGGTCTTTTGTTTGGGGGCCACACCCAGCAGTGCTCGGCAATCACTCCTGGCCGTGCTCTGGGGACCACAGCTGGTGGGCATCCAGCCCGCAGCGGTCAGGTGCAAGGCCAGCGCCCTCCCTGCTTGCACTGGCCCGGCCTGCACCAGAGATGGTGAAGGAGCACTGTGCCGGGAGGTGCTGAGGAGCACTGAGCCGTGAGCTGGAAGGCGCCCCATTGCAGACTTGCTGCCTCTCAGTTTTCAATCACCGCAGATTGAGGTTCTCTCCTGTCACCTAATCAGGGGTGGAAACCTCGGAGGCGTCTGGGCGGCTCAGGTTCTGCCCGTGATTGATGGTGTTGGGTGCGTGGCCCTAGCTGGGCCTGCCTACGGGTGAGGCGCACAGGGGAGCGAGCCCCTCGGGCCACCGCCCAGCCAGGGGCCTCCTGGGCCAGTCGCCCGGTGGCTGCGCCCTGGCGTGCCCGCAGCGGAGAGTTCTTTGCGGGGAGCGGGGGTGCCTGCTGTTCGGGTGGCCAGCCCTTCACTGGGCAGGGAGGGCGACTGGGTGCAGGGCAGCGGCGTCCGGCTCCGAGCGGTCCAGTTCTCGGTCGCAATGTGTTTTGTTGGTCTTCCCCACATGCCGGCGGTGGGCGCTGTGCGTCTCCCGCTGTGGAAGGCACGGCCGTGAAGCCTTGGGGGTCACTTTGGTGGTCGGCCCAGGCCAGAAGCGCGGTGGGGAGGGCGCTTGCCCGGCACACAGCTGGCGGCTCGCCTGGGCACGGCAAGGCTTGTCCCCTGAAGCGCGCCAAGTCATCAGTGCTGAGGGAGCCTAAGTTGCGTGCTTGCTTTGTCTTTTTTTTTTTTTTTTTTGCCTTTTTGGGTCACACCCAGCGATGCTCAGGGGTTACTCCTGCACTCGGGAATCACTCCTGGTGGTGCTCGGGGGACTCTATGGGATGCTGGGAATCCAGTCCTGGACAGCCACGTGCAAGGCGAACGCCCTACCCGCTGTGCTAGCGCTCCAGCCCCTACTTTGTTTCTTCTTGCATGTGTGCGCTCAGCCTGTCAGTGACCTGTTTTAATGTGTTGCGATACATTCTTCATGTCATTAGATTTTTTGGGGAAGCTTTTGTTTTCTTGGTATATTGTTGGGTGACCATTAAAACCCCGTGTCGTGGGGCAGTGCATTTCCCCATTTATTTGCTCTCTAAGATCACGAGAGAGCGTTCATACATGCGAGTCTTTGTTTTTCCGGTTACATCTTTAGGACAGGAAGTAAGAGATGTCTGACAGGTTTCCGTGTGAGGTTCGCCCTCGGGATGTGTGCTCAGGAGCACTCTGCAGTGAGCCAGGAGTGAGCCCCGGGCGTGCGGGTCCCATGGGATATTACGACTTTAAAAACTGTCTAGATCGTGAGAAGCGATCCTCTCTCCGCTTTAAAAAACTGGAGGTAGTGCTTCCACTCCACTAGAAGATGCAGGTCCTGTTGGCGAGGGCACTTCTGACCGTGTGGACACGCAGGTTTCTAACTCGAGACCCACCGCGTTTCTCAGTGGGTGTGTGCGTGCCCATTGCCCGTGCCGCTGGGCACTGCATGGTGTCCGGGCCTAGGAGATGTTCAGTGGCGTTTCTCGGTAGTTTCACCCTAACTTACGTTTTCGGAGTGTGATTCAGCTGCGAATGTCGGTCTGTCTTTGTTAAACATTTCTTTACATTCACACCTAAAGAAAAATGTAGTTATGGGCAGGAGTGATAGCACAGAGGGGAGGGCGTTTCCCTCGCACGCGGCCGACCCGGGTTCGATCCCCAGCATCCCATATGGTCCCCTGAGCGAGCACCACCAGGAGTAATTCCTGAGTGCAGAGCCAGGAGGAATGAGGTGTGACCCCAAAAGCCAACACTCCTCGCGCCCCCCAAATAAAAGAAAAATGTAGTTAATTGAATAAAAAGATTCCTTGTAGATCAAACGAGCCAGCTCGAGATCACATCTGCCCTCCCAGTCTCTCTTTTGATTTGGTTTTGTGCCCAAACCCAGCAGTGCCCAGGGCTTGTTCCTGTCTCCGCACTCAGGGATCACTCCTAGTGGCCTCGGGCGACTCTGTGGGGTTCCAGGGATCAAACCTGTTGCTTTTCAGAACAGTTTGCAAAATTATAACCAGGTTGTTCATAACGCCGGTTTCAGGCATCGAGGTCCCAGCCCCAGCCCCCGCCCAGCCTGCCCCCTGCGGGGACAAGCCTGTCCTACTGCATTCTGTTTGTCACGAAAGGCAAATGGCCTCCCCAAGTCTTAGGTCAGTGGGAATCGTTTGTGGTGATTGCCGCGTTGCAGCAGGGATGTCACCAAGGTCACTGGGGGTCCGCTGAGCTGCCTGTCGTGCTGATTCTTCACCTCTGGCATGGTGGAGGCCACGTGCCGGGCCTACCTGCCCCTTGTCCCTCAGGCCGCTGGGCACTGTGCCGCACAGTCCCACCCCCGGGTGTGGGGTGCTGGGGGAGGCCTGGTGGGACTGTCAGTGCCTGTGGCCTGGCCCGCGCGGGGATGGGCGGAGGGACGCGGCTCCCCGCGGCCTTTCTCCATTGCAGACAGGTGGGGTCGCTCTCCTGTCCCCTGTGGGCCTCTGAGCTTTCTCCCTGGGGATGGTCACAGGCCATCTCTCCCTGGGCCCCAGGGCCGCATGGAGCCTGAGGGTGTGGCCAGCTTGGTGACCCCACGGCTCCATGACCGGGGCTTGTCCCCTTCCGGTGTCCCTGGCAGTGCCCTTTCTCGGTGCTCTCAGGCACCTAGCCGGCTTCCCTGGCGGCAGCAAATCCAGATGCCCCCAGGACCGAGGGCCACTGTGCTCTTCCCCAGGACCGAGGGTCACCTGGACTCTGCCCCCAGGACCGAGGGTCAGCTGTGCTTTGCCTCCAGAGCCTTTTGGGGTTCCAGCTGGGTGTGGGAGGCTCATGCCCTCCTTTCCTGAGGCCACTTGGCCGCACCTGGCCGTGCTCAGGGCTTTGGGTTCAAGGTCGTCCCTGGCGGACTTGGGGGGCCGGACCCGGTAGGCCGCGTGCAAGGCAAACTCCCCCCTCCCAGCTGATCATAGCCCCCTGGCTCTGCCCCGCTGTCCTGTGGGGTCCCACCGGCAACGCTCCCCCCACCCCGCCCTGGCCCTCCCCTTCCCCTCGTCCCAGACACACCCCACACCCTTCTCCCTCTCCAGAGCCAGGCAGGGAAGACCACCGTGGCTGAGGGGCATGAATGACCCAGCGCACGTCCTTGGGGTTAAGGCCTAACTCCGGAAATGGGATTGACCTGAAAATTTATCTGGAACATTCTTTTCCCTTTTTTATAATTGGTGTTTGGTGGGCTGGAGTGACAGCACAACAGGTAGAGCGTTTGCCTTGCATGTGGCTGACATGGCCAACCTGAGTTCGATTCCTCCGCCCCCATCAGAGAACCCGGCAAGCTACCGAGAGTATCTCGCCCGCACGGCAGAGCCTGGCAAGCTCCCTGTGACGTGGCCAATATGCCAAACACAGTAACAACGAAGTCTCACGATGGAGACGTTACTGGGCCCACTCGAGCAAAATCGACGAACAGCGGGAGGACAGTGACAGTGGTGTTTGGTGCTCGGGTTACTCCTGGCTCTGCTCTCAGGGATCACTCCTGGCAGTGCTTGGGGGATCACCTGGGTGTTGGGGTCGAGCCTGGGTCAGCTGTGTCCTGTGCACGCCCCCTGCCACGCTGCTGTGAACTGTCACTTCCCCCCAGTCTGGAACATTCTTAGGACTTGCAAGTCCCTTACCTGTTTGTGAAATACAGCAAAAATCTAGTAGCACAAACACTGCTAGAATTTTGAAGGGTTTCCCCCAAATGGGGGTGCATGACCGGCTCAGGGGTTGCACCTGGCGGTGGTTGGGGGCGGAACTCCCCCCCCCCCCCACCCCGTTCTGGGCAACTTGGCCCCGAAGTGGTTTGGTGACAGGATCCAGACTGTGGGTCTGCCCAACCTAGCCTCACGCTCACTGACTCTGCGTCTCTGTCCCCAGGTCCCTCCTGGTCGTCCACTTCTGGGCGCCATGGGCCCCACAGTGCGCCCAGATGAACACCGTGATGGCCGAGCTGGCCAAGGAGCACGCCCAGGTGTCATTCGTGAAGGTACGTGAAGGTTCGTGAAGGTACTGCCCTTCCCTTTGGCCGCCAGCCGCCATTGCTTCCGGGTGGACGCTGTGCAGAGGGCTGTGTCATCCCCGGCACTGCCCAGTGCCCCTCACTGCCCCTCACTGCCCCTCATGCCGTGGCTTAGGCTGGCAGGGGCTTGGGGGAGGAGGAGCGTGGGGCCTTCCCCTGCCAAGGATGGTGTGGGGGAGGGGGAAAGGGTTCAGGCTGGGGAGCAGGTGCTGGGAGGGGCCCCGGGCATCCCTCCCTGCGTGTTTCTGGGACGGGTGACACTTCCCTGGAGGTGGAGTTGGGGCAGGCCAGACTGTGCTGGCCGAGAGGGGCCAGGAAGGCGGGCACGCCGGTATTCCAGGATCGGGATCTTTGGGGTTGAGGAGAAAATAGGCAACCCGCAAAGCCTTCGTTTTGTTTTTATTTAGATTCTGTTCTTTTGTTAAAAAAAAAACTCTTTTGTTTCTGGGTCACACCTGGCGGTGCTCAGGGTTCGCTCCTGGCTCTGCACTAAGGGATCACTTCTAGGGGCTGGGGGGCTATGCAGGGGGCCCAGCCTGCACCCTCATGCTGGGCTGTTGCACCACCTCCAAACCTTATTTATTTATTTTTTTAAATTTACTTTTATTCACTTTTTTTTTTTTGACTTTTTGGGTCACACCTGGCGATGCACAGGGGTTCCTCCTGGCTCTGCATTCAGGAATTACTCCTGGCAGTGCTCAGGGGACCATATGGGATGCTGGGAATTGAACCCGGGTCGGCCGTGTGCAAGGCAAACGCCCTACCCGCTGTGCTATCTCTCCAGCCCCCAAACCTAATTTTTCGAAACTACAGTTTGTGATTTTGGAGGACGTGTTGGCGGGGAAGCCTGTGTATGAGCTGAGAAGCGGTCTTCCTGCTCGTGAGCTGGGCCGACGCTTCTCGCAGGCTGGTTCCGGCGGGGCCCGGTGCTGTCTGCAGAACCCAGAGTGCTGTCCCTGCGCCCTCTCCCTCCCTGGCGCCCGTGCGCTGCCCGCCCCGCGAGGAGCTAACTGCTTTATCAATTTTGCATGAGTCCTCCCCGGATTCTTAATGCAGTGAGAGCAAGTGTGAATCTCACAGTTAGCTTTTTAAAATTTCAGGACTTATTTAAAATTCCAATGAAATGTGTGATGTAACCTTCGCGCGTAACCCTCAAATGTCCAGTATAAATAATAGAAGGGGACATTCAAGCTGCATGTCCGGTCAGCGATAACAGATAACGACGACAAGCAAATGAATGATTAAACGCCTCGGTCCCGAGATTAGCCAGCGGGATGGTGATTCTCGTGCCTGCCTCACGCGTGCACCGTCTTAGCTGCCGCCTCCGTGACTTATTCGGGGACTCGGGGATCCCCTCTCACCCTGGCACCAAACCTGGCGCTGAGCCCTGGAGCCGCCCCGGGGGCTCCTGAGCCTGCTGCCTGCTGCCGCCGCCCGGGCCGGGCCCTGCCCACGGTCACTGGGGCACGGAGCTGCCTCCCCACAGCAGGGCCGGCTCCTGTGCAGGCGTGTGGTCGGTTGGAAGGGGACCCTGGCCGGGCAGCAGGAGCAGATGGGCGTGAGCCGCCGAGGGCTTGGGTGGCCTCTCCCACGTTCGGTCCTTTGGCGTCAGCTTCTTTGGTGAAGAGCGTTTTCGAGGGCCGGAGAGAGCGTGGGCGAAGGAGCCGACCTCGGTTCCACCCCAGCACCCCAGGTGGTCCCCGAGCCCCACCGGCTGCCCGCCCCCCTCCCTGCAAACAGAAACGGTTTTTGAAACTTCATTTGGGTTTTTTAGTCTTTTGCGGGTAGGGGTGGGCTCCAGTGCCGTGCTGGGCAGCGCCCGGCCAGGCAGACAGGCCCCGTGTGCGGGTGCTGGCTCCCAGGGCCGTGCCCAGGCTGGACGGGGCCCCGGCTCTCCTTCCGGGCTCCTCTTAGGGGGCTGTAGCCCTTGGGCTCCCACGGGTGAGCCCTTCCTGACCCGATGGCGCGTAGGTTCATCCTAAACATGGTCCTTTTAATAGCTGATGGCAAAGTCTCCATGTCGGAGTGACCGTGGGTGGCCCCTGACTTTACGGAAGATGGTGGGGATCCCCGAGTACGTTAGAGCCTCGGGGGGGAGAAGCAAGAAGGGCCTTGGAGAGAGAGATTGGAAGAGACCAGCGGAGAGACCACAGAGACAGAGTCACAGAGACAGAGACACAGACAGAAGAGAGCACAGCGGCACACTTGGAAGCAGAGCACAAAGGAGGATCCGTCCCACCCTGGTCCATACACAGCGGCCCGAGAGCACCGAACGCCGGTGGCGAGAAAGAGCCGTCCGGAGAGCCCACCGGCAACTCACATCTTCCCCTCCCACACGGGTGGGTCAGTCCAGTGGGCAGAGCCTGGTGGCCGCACCCAGCGGGTCCCCTGCCCCGTCTCTGAGCCTTCCTCTCTTCACGGTGAGCCCGTCCGCAGGGTTAACCGGCTTTTGACAGGGGCTTTGAAAGAGTCGTCAAGAATTGTAATTTAAGTTTGCTTCGAAGTTTGTGTTTGTTTGATAATGTGATTGTGGAAAATGTCAGATTTTCTGTGACTGTGTCATGTCACGGGGCGGACAGACCCTCTTGGCCAGGCCTTGCAGAATGTCCCCCAGTTTCATGTCAAGTCCTCCCGGGTCTGTCCTGCTTAGCCTGTCCTCGGCTCTGCGCTCCCTGCCCTCTCCAGGGCCACATGCTGAGAAGCCGTTTCCTGCGCTGGTCCCGGGTGCCGGCCGGCCAGACCGTCGTCTCCCGTGGCTCCCTGGGAAGGGACAGGCTCCCGGGGCAGGAGCTGTGCGGCCTGGTGTGGCGGGAGAGAGCCCTGACATGCTGGGCCCGGGGCAGCGGGGCTGGGCATCTCCAGGAGTGACCGCTGCTGGGGACTTTTGGGTCCAACCCCAAAAGAAGAGACGACTCTGGACCTCTGAGGCGCTGGGTCTGTGGAGGGGGCCGGGGCCGTGGCCACCGCTGCACGGGCTGTTGGCAATCGCTTTCCTGTGGACGCAGGGTCCAGGCTGTGGGAGCCGTGGGTGTGGACGGGGCCGCCAGTGTCCGGCTGTGGCTTCGCTGTTTCCGAGTCGGATCCGTTTTCCATATTTGTGCACTTCCTGTCCGTATTCCAGATCACATTAGCGCTGCCCGGCTGTCCCGCGACCGTCCTGAACCTCCTCGTGCTTCCCGTCCCCCCAGGGGCAAGGTCCGAGCACTGTGGTGATCCTAGCTCCCCGGATGCCCCCCGAGGCCCTCCGTGGGCGGGTGGGGGGAGGTGCTGCAGGCGTGGGGCAGAGGCACGTCCTGCTCGAGGCTTCCGCGCCACACAGCCCTGTTCCCTCTCGGGTCCGCTTCTCTCACACCGGCGGCGCGCGGGATCAGGGTGGACGCTGCCTGGCCCGCTGTCTGCTGGTGGCCTCCCAGGGGTGAGATGAGGGCGGGGAAGTGACCGGTCCTTGCCCGTGTTTGTTCCCGGTTCTGGGCTGCGTGGCCAGGGCTGTGGGGTCCTCACGCTCGGCTCTTCTCTCCTTCCCTTCCTCTGATTTACAATCTTTTTTTTTTTGCCTTTTGGGTCATTCCCAGCGATGCTCAGGGGTCACTCCTGGCTCTGCACTCGGGAATCACTCCTGGCGGTGCTCGGGGGACCCTATGGATGCGGGGACCGAACCCAGGTTGGCCGCGTGCAAGGCAAACGCCCTCCCCCTCTGTGCTATCGTTCCGGCTCCATGATTTGAAATCTTGAACAGTTTTCACATAAAGACGTTTTAAGGAAGCAAATAACAAGCCTCCACGTCCGCAAGGATTTCTGACGGGAGTTAGGCCGTGAGCCCAGCAGCCGTTGTCGTCCGGGGGAGCCGCAGTCAGAGACAGTGGCCGTCCCCAGGCCGGGATGAAAGGGGCTTGCAGGCCCAGTGGAAACCTTTCACTCCTGCAAAAATGCTCTTTCTATATTTAAAGAACTTGCAACAATATAATTTATCGACGAATTTTATTTCCTAGAGGTATAATGTGAATACAGTTTTATTGGTTTTAAAAAGTTGATATTAAATTGCCGGTCCTGTGAGGGAAAACGGATCCTGGCTTCTTCTCGGCGTGCTATTTATAACCCTGCAGTAACTGCCCTGGCTCATCATTCAGAACCGGGCGCGAGATGGGCTTGAAGTCCGGGCGTCAGCAGTGGCCAGTGTCGCAGCCCTGCCAGGACTGCGGCCACCCTGCTCAGATCACGCTGCCCAGGCCCGGCCACTGCCCGGTGGCCCACGTGTACGGTGGTCACTGCCCGGTGGTCCAGGGGTACACAGGTCACTGCCTGGTGCCTGGCCACTGCCTCGTGGCCGCCCATGTGTACGGTGGTCACTGCCCGGTGGCCCAGGTGTATTCAGGTCATTGCCCATTGGCCCAGGCGCGGTCACTGCCCAGCGTGCCTGCTCCGTGGCCAGCAGCCTGGCAGGAGTTAAAAGAAAAATTCATCAACCGTCTCTCGCTTATTGGAGAAATTCTCCCTTTGCTTCATAATTTGCAGAGGGCTGGAGCTGTCAGTCATGATATACTGCCTCTTGGAATTAGTCAGTAGAGCAAACAGCACGAATTGCTGTGGGCAGAAAATCAGCACTGTAATCATGACATAACTGGGGTCAGTGATTTATGGATTTCAATATAGTAGTAGCTGCATATGATTGAAAATTTACTAGGTCACTAGTGCACCAAAATTTTTATTCACAGCCTCCAGGCATCTCTTGAAATGTGCAACAAAATAAAAACCTCTGAACCTGTTTTGACACCGCAGAGTGGTGAGGACAAGGCTCCCAGCGAGGCTCATTTAAATGTAAATGTGCCGAGACTCTTAAAAGAACGCCAGCCCCTGGAAGGAAGGTGTGGGGAGCTGACCCACACACCCGGTGGTGGAGACCCCTTTTCTGATCTAGTTTCGATTCTTTTATTTTCAAGTTGGAGGCTGAAGCTGTTCCTGAAGTATCTGAGAAATATGGGATTAGTTCTGTCCCCACCTTCCTGTTCTTTAAGGTAAGGCGAGGGCGCGGCCGGCCGGGGGCTGCTGGGAGGCGTCCTTGTCTGTGCCGGCCGCCTCTGCTCTGGCCTGGCTCTGTAAGGAGCGGCCGCGCCTGCCTCAGTGGTCCCCGGGCGGGCGTCTGCAGGGGCCGGCTGGCGCTGGCTGCTCCGGTTGGAGAGCCGTGTTGCTTCCGACCTTTCCCGGTCCACAGGGGCGAGCCCTGTGGGTCGCCTGGGGAGAAGCCCCCTTGCTGTCGGGGGTGGGAGAGCCCCGCCGGCCGGCCAGCCATCTCAGCCTCAGCCTCGCGTCCCTTCAGAATTCGCAGAAGATCGACCAGCTGGACGGCGCCCACGCCCCGGAGCTGGCCAAGAAGGTGGAACGGCACGCGGCCAGCGGCTCCTTCCCGCCCGGCAGTGACGAGCACCCCAAGGAGGACCTGAACGTGCGCCTGAAGAAGCTGACGCACGCGGCCCCCTGCATGCTCTTCATGAAGGGGACCCCCCAGGAGCCACGCTGCGGTGAGCGGGCCGGGGAGGAGCTGGCTCCCGGTGGCTCTCCAGGGGGGCTCAGGGGGGCTGGAGGGGCTGGAGTCCGGAGAGGAGGCGGTCGTGGCGCTGGCGGGTCTGAGGCGCGTGTGCACCCAGGCTCGCGCCTGGGAGGCGGCTGCTCCGGGCCCGCGACCGGCCCGTCCCTTTTCTTTTCCTGGTTATTGGCCCACACCCGGCAGTGCCCAGGACTCACTCTGGCCGTCTCTGCACTCAGGGATCAGGGGACTCGGGACCCTGTGGGCCATACGTGTGCCAGGGATCAAACCCAGGTCGGCCTCGTGCCAGGCAAGCGCCTGCCCACTGTCCTGTGCCGTTCTCTGAGCTTGGCTGGGCACTGCCGGGCCTCTCCCAGTCAGGCAGTGACCGGACAGGGACAGTTGCGGCTCCGGGCCCCAGCGGCAGTTCGTTCCTCTGGTGCCGGTTTGGTTGATGGGCTGAAGACATGGGCGGTGGGAGGGAGATGGAGCCCTGCGGGCGGGTGGGGGTCAGTCCTGGACCTCGGTCTCTGGGCGGAGGGGAGGCTCTCCGGTTCAGACCAGTCAGAATCAGGCTGAGGAAGCTCCTGCCCTGCCCGTTCCCTGGATGTTCTCCTCGCTTCAGTGGCATTTCGAAGGTTTTTGTATGTGAGCGTGGAGAGGAGGCTTCAGGCGTCAAGCTCTGGAACACTTGATATCACAAACTTGGAAATTGAAACATGAAATTCGGAAATAGGATTTTATAAGCTTCATTCCACACCAGCACTTATTTTGTCTTTCTTGTTTTCATAACCGTGGGCTGGAGCGATAGCACAGCGGGTCGGGCGTTTGCCTTGCATGCGGCTGACCAGGGGTGAATTCCTTCGCCCCTTTCCGAGATCCTGGCAAGCTACTGAGAGGATCTCGCCCGCACGGCAAAGCCTGGCAAGCTCCCCGTGATGTATTCAGTATGCCAAACACAGTAACAACAGGTCTCACGATGGAGACGTTACTGGGCCCGCTCGAGCGACTTGATGAACAACGGGAGGACAGTGATAGTTTCATAACCACATTTAAAAACAAATTTCTTTTCAGATGTGGTCAGCATAGATTTGCTGTTCTTCACCCCTGAGTTTCAGCACCCGCCGTCCACGTTGCCCCTTCCCCAGTGGGACCCCCACCCCCTACCCGCAAGTCTGCTTCTCTGAGAGGCTTTTTTTTTTTTTGCTTTTTGGGTCACACCCGCCGATGTTCAGGGCTTACTCCTGGCTCATGCACTCAGGAATCACTTCTGGCGGCGCTCGGGGGACCATATGGGATGCTGGGAATCGAACCTGTGTTGGCCATGTTGGCTGTGTGCAAGGCAAATGCCCCACCCGCTGTGCTATTGCTCCAGCCCCTCTGAGAGGCCCTTTCACAGGACTTTCCGCACTGCGGTGGACAGTCCTGCTGCCAGGAGGGTCCCACACACACTTCGCCCCCTCCCAGCACCTCTTCCTCCTCCCGGTTGAACGCTTCCCTGCCCCACAGACTTGGCCCCCTCGGGTGGCCCGTTTCCTGCTGAAGGCCAGAGCTCGTGTCCTCTGTTTCCCTGGTCCCTGGGTGTTCGCTATTCCCGTTAGGTCTCCTCGTGTCCCACATAGGAGAGACACCATTCCGCGTCAGCCTCTCCCTCTGACTAACCTCCCCCAGCAGGAGACTCTCCACGTCCTCCATGGGGCAGCAGACTGCATGACCTTCTCTTTTCTTTTTTCATTTTTTTTATGATTTTATTTATGGAATCACCATGCGAGCAGTTCCAAAGCTTTCGGGTCCAAGTCTCGGTCACACAATGAAACACCCGAACCTTCACCAGAGCCCAGGATACCCCCTTCCCAAACTTTCCCCCTACCTGTGGGGCAGACGATTTCCACATTACTCTCTCTCTCTACTTCGATCACATTCAATGTTTTGACACCAGACCCACCATTATTTTTTGGGGATTTTACCCCAACGCTCAGATCTGCTGAAAAGGCAACAGTAGACAATTTGTTTTCTATTGCGGGTTATGAAAAACATATGATGCTGCATGGTTGCAGTAGTGGCCACGCGATTTTGAAATTTTAACAATTAAATCTGGAGGGATATCTGCCAAAATCTGTTGGGTTCTGAGATTTGTTCCTGAGTCTCTTGGGTCATGGCCGTTAAGCAGCTTGATCAGGAGCCAGAGAGGCCATTCGTGGGCGATGACTCGGGGTCTTGTTGGCACCTGGAGGAACGGGCCGGCTCCATCCCCATACCTTGAGGTCCTGTGTGTCTCGTCACTGCAGTCCCAAACCTGACTGTCCAGTGGCCTCTGGAGGATGCCGGCCACCGGGCCGCCAGGGGGAACAGGCCAAGGCACGAAAACTATTCCCACCTGGGGTAGCCCAGCGCCAGTAACCTACCGTAGGGACTGGACGCATTTCTGCCAAAAGCCACTGGATTTCAAGATTTGTTTCTGAGTCTCTGGGATCATGGCCGTTAAGCAGTTGGATCAGGAACCAGAGAGGCCAGGCCTCCAATTATATAGCTGAGCCGGAGGTGGTTTGTGGGTGTGTCTCCCACATACCTAACTTTTGGCCGTTTACTTTCTTGGTAAACTTTGCCCCAAGTTTTTGGGGTCTGGCCAAAGGCACAGCAGCAATTTTGGGGTATCTGGAAGTTTGAAGGCGCCATCAGGCTGTTGATGCACTCGCCTCACAGGTACAGATTGGCCTGCTGGCAGCACCATACCCCCTCTTCTCTTTTCTTATGGCCAAGTAATACTCCATTGCGTACATGTCCCACAGTCGGTATCCAGTCTCTGTCCTTGGACACTGGGTTGTTTCTGGGCTTTGGCTGTTGTCCACGGTGCTGCAAGGACACTTGGTTTTGGGCCCTTGGGGGTATTCCGAGGGTTGCTGGGCCCTGCGGGAGTCGATCCCTAGACTTGGGAGTGTCCGTACTGGTTTCCCGAAGGGCTGCGCCTGCAGCGCCCCCAGCAGTGAGTGAGGCGCCTTCCCCGTCCGCGCCCGACTCACGGTGTGGCTGGTGAGCGCCGTCTGGCGCCGCCCTCCCTGGCCCCCGACTCTGCCTTGTTCCCCTGCCTTCCTCAGACCCGTCTTTCACCCGTGTTTCTCTCCTGTGTCCCACGCCTGCGGTGACGGTGGTCTCAGGCCTCTGGCACCTGCCTGGCCGGCCCCTCCCCACCTGCTCGGGTGAGATGCGCCCGCCCCCAGAGGGCCTAGGACTCGGAGGGGGGTGGAGGTGCCCTTGGGGTCAGGGCAGTGCTGCAGGTGAGAGGGGGTCGCCTGGGCTGTGCGGGGTGGCCTCAGCTGTGGCCTGCGGGCGTTCCAGTTCCTCTCTGGGAAGAGCCAATCCGGGTCGGGACGTGGCGCGGCGGTGCAGGTGTGGGGGTCTCGGCCGTGGGCTGACGCTGGTGGGACACAGGAAATGCCGGGAGATGCCGAGAGACGCAGGGGGCGCAGGCAGGTGTTGGTGCCTTGGGCTCCTGGAGAGGGGACGGGATCGTCTTCTCAGCAGAGCCTTGACCCCGGCCCTGAGGGTCGCTGTCTGGACGCGGCCGAGCGGCCCAACCGCTGGTGGCCTGGGCACCCTTAGAGCCGCCCTCCTGTGGCCCATGGGATGGGACGGGAGAGAGCTGGGGCCGTGGAGAGAGCTGGGGCCACGTGCGAGCCGGGGTCTGTCCTCCCCCGACTGCGGGGTGGGTGCCATGGCCGAGAACTTGGCTTCCTTCTGAGTGCTGTCTTTGCGCGGTGTGTGCAGAAGGTCGTTCCCGAGGAGGGCGTGTGCGGGTATTTTGTTTCTGGAAGACAGCCTCCTCACTATTTCATCCTTAAGCATAACATTTCCAGGGCTATCATTTTAACCCTTAAAAACAAACCGCCGCCGATCAATCTTTCTGGTCTGCATGTAATTGCCCAAAGCTAAAACAAAGCTTTTTTTTTTTTAGCCAGTTGCAGTAGAAATGAGTTAATATGTTGGCAGCAGAGTAACCATCAGCAATCAGCCCTTAGCTGTTTACTAATGAACTCCCAGATGAATGAAAAAGATTTCAGAATCCGTGTTTTTCTCCAGGCTGTACATGAACGTAACGCTCGAGTTGAAGGGAAGGCGCTCCGTGCGGCTCAGGCCCACAAAGCAGGGCTGCGTCTCCGCAGGCCGGGCCGCAGGGGGCCGGGCCGTCCAGGCCCGCCTCGGAGCCGAAGCGACTTGGCTCGGCCCCACGTGGGGCTGCGCCTGCCGTTGATCCCGGTCTGAGTTCAGGATTTGATTCTATCTGAACACGCTTGCCGGCGCAGTCAGACCTGATTCCCGAGAATAGGCGGTTTCCCGGTGAATCACAACTGGGTTTGCAGAGAAGGAAGATAGACTGGCGGGGAGTGAAGCGGTCCAAAGTATTGGGAAACGATTGGGAGAATTAGGTTACGGGAAGAAAAATATCCCCTCTCAGGCAGGACGAGAGGATCTATAAAAGTCTGCCCTGGGTTGGCTCTGCCGTGCTAATGTCATCATGAGAAGATGGTGTCAGGAAAGAGCGGAGCGACAATGTGTCACAGAAGCTTAATAAAGTCACGGAACGTGCAGGTGTGAAGGAATCACGCCACACGCTTTGGAGAATGTCGATAGTTTCTGAAAGAGAAACTCAAATTCCGAGGGCCGGTGAGAGACCAGCGTCGGTCTGTCGGTGGTTACGCGAACGGCAGAGAAATCAGGGCCGGCCTGTCTCGGGGCCGGTCAGGCGTGGGGCCGGTCAGGCTCAGGACCGGCCTGGCTCAGTCCCAGCTTTTCTCTGGCCGCCCGTTCACCTGGCGAGCCTGGCCCGGACATGGCGAAGGGCATGGAGCTGCAGCCGGGTGCTGTGGGGGCGTGGACGCGGCGTGGAGCCACAGTCAGATGGTCACGGGGGTGCGGGTGTGGATGGACCTGCGTTCGGTTGGTCGGCAGTGTGGACACAGGCTCCTGGCCTGTTCAGTTCTCACTGAGCGTCCTTCTGGTCCCCATGGACCCCTGATGGCAGCGGGCAAGGCAGGGAGGTGACTCGGGCCATGGCCGACCGGAGCCTCCCCGTGGGCGTCCAGTCTGGCGTGGGCTCTGCCTTCCGGTGCTGCTTGTCCCGGGCCCAGACAGTTGTGGTCCGAGGGGGGCTTTGGCCAGTACTTCCCTCGCTCTCCAGAGTGCTGGAGAGGCCGTCCCAGGTGTCGGAGCGTGGCCGCTCGGTGTCCTGGAAGGGACTCGCCTTGTCTCCCCTCGCGCGCAGGGGGCGGCGCGGTCAGCGGAGGGGCGGCGGGGAGCTGTGCCCCGGCGGGGGGCGGGGGCAGTGGGCACCCCCGCCGGCCTCGCTGAGCCCCCGCCCCTCCCAGGCTTCAGCCGGCAGATGGTGGAGATTCTCAACAGACACAACGTCCAGTTCAGCAGCTTCGACATCTTCTCGGACGAGGAGGTGCGGCAGGGCCTCAAGGCCTACTCCAACTGGCCCACCTACCCGCAGCTCTACGTCTCGGGCGAGCTCATCGGGGGCCTGGACATCGTCAAGGTGGGCTCCGGCTGGGCTGGGCTGGGCTGGCCAGGGCCCCGCGTCCAGGTCTCTGATGCCCGTGTCCCCGCAGGAGCTGGAAGCGTCTGCGGAACTCGATACCATCTGCCCCAAAGTGCCCAAGTTAGAGGAGAGGTGAGCCCCGGGCCGCGGCCAGCTGGCTCTTCGCACACCCCCACCCCCGCCGGCCCCCTCCCGCGCCCCTCCCCCCCTCCCCCGCTCTCCCCCCTGTGCCCACCCCCCCCCCCATTCCCTTCCCGGTGCTCCTCGATGATGGCCACGAGGAGGTGGAGCTCTCAAGTCAGATGCTGCTTGTTTCCCATATGGGAGCTTGGGGCCAGCCTGTCGGTGCCTCCACACTCGGCCCCGGCCCTGCCAGTCCCGTGGCCTCAGGGACGTCTGAGCGGGGGCGCATCTGCGGAGCCGGCGGCCAGGAGCAGGGCTGGGACCCGCATCACGTTCTCCTGGGCTGGCTGGGCATGGCCCAGAGGCGGCCAGGCAGGGGTGGTTGGAGGCGGTCACTGTCCCTGCTCCGACGAGGGCTTTGGACTTCAGCTGCTGCTGCTGGTGGCCTGGGGAGGTGGGCACCGGGCAGGGCGCCCCCAGACAGCCCCCAGAATTCTCTGTAGTGCGGGGTCGATGGGCGTCAGTTGCACCTTCGGGCCTCAGAAGGCCTCTGGGTTCTGCAGGGGCCTAGGGAGACCGTGCGGGAACACGCCGGGCTGTGAGCTGTGGGGACCTCCTGCCGTGTTCTCTCCCCAGGCTCAAGGTGCTGACGAATAAAGCCGCCGTGATGCTCTTCATGAAGGGGAACAAGCAGGTCAGGGCGCGGGGGCCAGGCGCGTCTCTCCCCGGGCCCGCGGGCTGTGGGGCCACACAGCTGAGTGGTCCCCGGCTGCCTCCTGCTAGCCCGGCCGCCTGCTGCTGCCCGCGCTGGAGCGTGCCCAGGCCTGCCGTGTGCTGGGCCCCGACACGCGTGGTGGCCCCTTGACGTGCGTTTGCTGTTCTCAGGCCGCTCGGTCGGGGTTGGCGGCGGCGTGTCCCGCCTGGCCGCTGTGCTCTCAGCTTGGCCCTCGCAGGCAGGGTTTTCTTTTTCTTTGGTTTTGCTTGTGGGTCACACGGGTGATGCTCAGGCAGTGCTGGGGGACCCGCGGGCGCCGGGGGCGCTGGGGGGTGGAGCCGGGGTCGGCGTGCTGCGCCGGGTTCTTGATCTGGGTTTTGTTTGCGAAGGCCCCGGCGTGTCCCTCCACGGGGGCTGACCCACCTCACGTGGGAGGCGTCGGGGCTCTGGCTCTGTCTGTGGGCCGTGGGGTTTGGGGTCCCGCCAGGCGCAGGCCGGGGGAGGCGGGGGACGGCGGGCCCCTCCTCGCGGGCCCCGTGCGCCGCCCTCAGCCGCTGTCCTGTCGGGGTCCAGGAGGCGAAATGTGGATTCAGCAGACAAATCCTGGAGATCCTCAACGGTGCTGGGTGAGCCGCCCGCTGCCCCACGGTGTCCGTCGTCCGCCCCGCTGAGCCCAGAGCCCCTGGCCCGCCAGCCCGGCCGCTGCTCCCCTGTCCTGGGGTCACTCCCCTCCGCCCAGCTCTGGAGGGGCCTCCGGGATCAGGTCCTGGGCGGCCCCGTGCCTGACCCCCTGGACATTGGCCTGTCCCAGCCCCAGGGCTCAGGGGGTCAAGCCAGCCCCTCCGTCAGGTCCACTCGGCCCCAAGGACAGACAGGCCCCTCGCCCAGTGCAGGGGCGACTCAGACCCTCCCCAGCTCCCGAGGCCCCTGAGGCTGTCCCGGCCCCAGCCCTGTGCCTGGAGCTTCCCTCTGGCCCCGGGGTCTTCGCATGCACTCGCGGGCCGTGGGTGCCGGCTGTCCCATGCACACGGCAGGTGCCCTGGCCCTCCTGCCCACTTTGTGTGTGCCCAGCGATGGCCGTGCGCCGCTGCCTGGCCCACCCCATCTGCCCGTGCACTCTGCAGCTCTCGGGCAGGCTGGGCGGTATGTCCTGGGGGCTTCCCTGGCGCCCCCTGCAGTGCTGGCCAGGAGCGTCCACTCCCGTGGCCCCCCCCCCCAGGAAGGCCCCAGGGGTCTGGCCGTGGCAGGTCTGATGGTTTCCTGTCTCCCTCCCAGCGTTGACTACGAGACCTTCGACATCCTGGAGGACGAGGAGGTACGGCCCATCCCTGAGCGGCCCTCGGTGCTCGCAGGGTCTGTGGTGGGCCTGTGGGGAGGAGGGGGCTCACGCTGTCTGTCCCCGCAGGTGCGGCAGGGGCTGAAGGCCTACTCCAACTGGCCCACCTACCCCCAGCTCTACGTCAAGGGCGAGCTCGTCGGGGGGCTGGACATCGTCAAGGTGAGGCGGGACCCGCTCCACGGCTTCCGGGCGGGCACGGGGCGGTCCGTCCCGACCGTTGGTGCTCCCTCCCCGCCGAGGCTCCGGGCCACGCCCCGGTCGGTCACGGCGGACAAGAGGGCACTTCTGGGAGGGACGGAGCACGGGGGCTATGCTTCTGCGGGAGCCAGGAGAAGAGCTGCTCCCGGCACAGTGCTCAGGGTGGCTCCTGGAGCCTGCAGCCGTGGAGACAGGAGCCGCACGCTTCTTCGGGGTGCCCCTGCCTCAGGCCGGAGCTGGGCTCTGGGCAGCTGCCCCTGTCGGGAGAGTGTCCGCAGTGGAGCCCAGCCCGTCCATGTGCCTTTCTTGGCGGCTCCCGGGGAACAGCCACGATGCATCTCATCTAACGCGGGAGTGGCCCTCCGTGCTCGCAGGGTGCCGCGTGCCCCGCCGAGTCTGCGTGTCCGAGGACAGGCGGGAGGGGGCTGGGCCGCGCTCTGGGCTCCAGCACGTGCGTCCCACAGGCCCACCTCGGCCCCGTTCTCGCTGCTCCCGCCCGACCCAGTGGCCGGGTGGCACTTGTGACCCGAGAGGCGGGCACGGGAGGGTCTGCGGGTGTCGGCCTTGGTGGGCCAGGGGCGCTGTGGGTTTGCGTTTGGGGCCGGGGCGCGCGCGTCGGCCGGGGCTCGGGCTTCCTCGGCCCTGCCCTCACGGCGCCGCTGTCCCGCCCGCAGGAGCTGAAGGAGAACGGAGAGCTGCTGCCCATCCTGCGGGGGGACGGCGCGTGAGGCCGCGGGGCCGGCGTGGGGAGCGCTCCCGCCGTCAGCTCGGCCCGCGAGGCTGCTGCCACCTCCCCACCCACGGGGGCCCCTCCTCACGCCTCCCCACCCGCACTAGACGCAATAAACACCTCGAAACTCCTGGAGTCCCTGTCCCTGGCTGCTGGTGTGAGCGCCGAGGTGGGGCCGGGCAGCTGGTCCGGACCGCTGGCGCCCTCCGCTGGCCGGAGGGCTCCCTGCAGCCCCCCGGGGCAGGTGCCCACACGGGGGTCTCCCTGCAGGGACCTGGAGCCCCGCGGGCGTCTCTTTTCACGGCCGTGATTCATGGATGACTCTCTGTCTGTCTGTCTGTCCGTCCGTGTGTCTGTCTGGGGGCCACACCTGGTGGGGCTCGGGGCTCGCTCCTGGCTCCGTGCTCAGGGGTCACTTCCTGTGGGCTGGGGGAACCACACAGGCTGCCAGGGATGGAACCCGGGTCAGCGCCTGCCCACGGCCCCACCCCCGGCCCCGAGCGTACTGTCCAGCCAAACCTGCCCCTGGGCTCCTGCCCCTCTGCCATCGTTTCTCAACCCCTCACCCACGGCCGCTCGCCACGTCCTGGGCCCGACTCTGGGTGGTTCCACGTCCCCTCCCCGGCATCTCCCCGCCAGCTGCGTCCACATGGCCCAACCGCCTGGCGCCCCCGGAGGGACGGTTCCTCACGCCCGCGTGGGTCCCACTGCAGCGTGTCTGGGGACACCGGGTGGTGTCAGTGTCTTGTGACCTGCTGTAGGGACACAGGTGCGGGGGGGTGGGTGTGGGAGGAGGGGGCTGGCTCTTCCGGAGACCTTGTTTCCGATCTCTGGGGAACAGGCCGTGTTTGTCCAGATTGTTCTGGGGTTGCTTCTGAATTGTTCGTATTTTTTCCCAGAAAGGCAGGACCGTCGCCGTCCCCACTGACGGTGACGAGGGTCCCTTTCCCACCCACGCCAGGCCTGGTGGATTTTTCTCTGTGCTGGGGCCTGTTGGGCCGGGCTGTGGTGCTGTCCCGTTGTTTTGATTGGCATCTCCCTGAAGACTGTGACATTTTTATAAGGACATGGACCAAATGCTGTTGGAATTTATACACAGCAATAAAACCGAATAATCCAGGAACAAAGTCGGGAGGCCTTTCCCTTCCCAAGGTGGTTACCGATGCCGTGGCGGTCACAGGTTGGTCCTGAATGAAGAAAATTGAGACCCCAGAGATGGGCTCTGGCCTTGGCAGCCATCTCCAGCACGGAGCAGAGGCCGTGGCACGGAGCCGGGAACCCTCAGCAGACAGCATCGGCCGCCCTCAGCACACACGAAGGTCCCGATGGGCTCAGGGTCCTCGTGAGGCTGAGACACCTAGACCAGCTGGACTAACTGGGCATGCCCTGCCCCGTGCCCACCGACAGGGTCACTGCAAGGTGGGGTGACCTCGGGACCCGTCAGGAGGTGCCAAGAAGTGCCCCGCCCTGCACAGCCTTGGGTGACGGTGAGTGGCCACACCTCCGGGGCTCTGGCCCTGCCTCTGGGCTCTGCGGATGTGCCCGCAGCCCGCTGTCCGATGTCCGTGGGGGCACCCTCTGACTCGACACAAGGTAATGCAGCTGGACTCTGCGCTCTTGGCTTCAGGAGGCTGAGGAGGGACCCTCGGCTTGTGCCCGATGCCCGCCCTGTCCTCTGCTCTGCCCACACTGACCCTGCACAGGACGTGCTGCCTCCTCCCAGCCCTCAGGTGCCCGCGGCGGCTGAGCAGACGCAAGAGGAGCGTCTCGTGCCCGTCCCATGTCACCACTGATGTCACTGTGTCACCTGTGGGTTCATGGGTCGCCCGTACATGTGTGTCCCTCATGATCTCATGTGTCTCCTGATTCCATGTACAAGTATCGCATTAATCATGTACGTATCACCTGTGATCTCATGCACATGTCACGTGTGCCATGTGATCCCATGTGTGATCCCATGTGTCACCTGTGGTTTTGCACAGGCGTCACCTGTGGTCTTGTGTACATGTGAAAATCTGATCATACATGTGATCTCACACATGCGTCACCTCCCTCTTGGAGAGCCCGGCAGGCTACAGAGAGTATCCCGCCCGCATGGCAGAGCCTGGCAGGCTCCCCGTGGCGCATTCGAGGTGCTAGAAGCAGTAATAAGTCTCGCGATGGAGACGCCATTGGTGCCCGTTCGAGCAAACCGATGAACAACGGGAGGACAGTGGATAGTGTATGTTCCCCTACACATGTCACCTGTGGTCTCATGTACACGTCTGTACCGTGGTCTGTACATGTGCCACCTGTGTTCCCGTCCGGGCGTCCCCGTGGTCCCTGAACATGCCCTCCTGGAGAATGGCACGGCTTGGCCACCCCTCCCGGGGCCCGGGTGGACGTGTTGGTGGCACACTTCCCGCTCGCAGGTGCTCCCGGCTCCCCGGGGGCCTTCAGGAGTGGGAGCGGCTGCCCCCTTGGGCCAGCGTCTGCGTCTGCGTGGGTGCGGCCTCTCGTTCCCCCCCGCCGCCCTGGGCGTCTCCCCCGCAGTGTTGGGGCGGGCTGGGCGGGATCTAGCAGGGAGGCTGGGGCGGGGGTCGCCAAGTCTGCCGCGGCGGGGGGAGGGGGCAAGGGACAGAGGACAGACACCCCGGGGGGCTCGGGGCTGGAGCGCGCTGGTGCCGGGGAGGGGCTGTGGGCGCCCCGCCCCAGCCCAGCGGCCCCGGCCTCGGGGGCCCCCGGGGTCCCCCTGCTCCCAGCGCCCCGGGTCTCTGTCCAGCCCAGCGCTCCTGCCGGGCCGGGCCGTGTTCCGTGCGCTGGGGCGCTGCGGGTGCGCCCACCCTGGACCCGGGCTGGGTCCCAGCCGGGTCGGGTGCGACAGCGCGCCCGGCGCATGACCGCGCGTGTCCACGCGAGGGCGCTGCTCGCCGCGCTCGGGCCGTGTCCGCGCCGCTGGCCTGGCGGCCTCCAGGCGCCAGGGGGCGCGCGAGGACCGCGGAGCCGCCGGCCCGGCCGTGCGCGCGCCCGGGGCCGTGCGCGCGCCTGGGGGTCGTGCGCACGCCCGCTTGGAGCCGAGCGCCGGCGCGCTTCCGAACGGGCAGGAATTCGGGTTGTTCAGTAAAAAGCGGGTTCGGTGCCGGAGGATGCGACGGCCCGTCGCGATCGCGCCTGTCACCTGGGCGCGTCGTTCGGGCTGAGGGTATTGGAGGGTATTGGGGGATATTGGAGGGTATTGGGGGTATTGGGGGATATTGGAGGGTATTGGGGGATATTGGAGGGTATTGGAGGGTATTGGAGGGTATTGGGGGATATTGGAGGGTATTGGAGGGTATTGGGGGATATTGGAGGGTATTGGAGGGTATTGGGGGATATTGGAGGGTATTGGGGGTATTGGGGGATATTGGAGGGTATTGGGGGATATTGGAGGGTATTGGAGGGTATTGGGGGATATTGGAGGGTATTGGGGGATATTGGAGGGTATTGGAGGGTATTGGGGGATATTGGAGGGTATTGGAGGGTATTGGAGGGTATTGGGGGATATTGGAGGGTATTGGGGGATATTGGAGGGTATTGGGAGATGTTGGAGGGTATTGGGTGGGGGGTATTGGAGGGTATTGGGGGGTATTGGGGGGTATTGGGGGATGTTGGGGGGTATTGGGGGATGTTGGGGGGTATTGGACGATATTGGGGGATGTTGGGGGGTATTGGACGATATTGGGGGATATTGGAGGGTATTGGACGATATTGGGGGATATTGGAGGATATTGGGGGATATTGGATGATACTGGGAGGACGTTGGAGGACGCATCATGCTGGCCACCGGCCTGTCACAGGGCCACCAGCATCCGTCTCCGTGGACAGTGAGGCCTGAGCTCCCAGTGCCCTGCCCGCGGCCTCCTACATGGGCTGTGGGGATGGAGGCTCGTGGCTGGCGGGGAGCGGTCAGAGAGCAGCACCCAGGGCCAGGACGGGGGGCCCAAGCCCCCACCCTCGTCTCCTGAGCCTGTGGGCCCAGCTGGGGGGCAGGAGAGGTGCCAGGGACCGCAGGGACGACCAGGCGGGGGGCCTTGGGTCTGGGCAGGGGCAGGGGCCAGTCCCAGGGGGCTTCCGGGCACTGAGGCGGCAGCCTAGAGAGAGGCCCACGCCGACAGGCCCTCCCGGGGGCAGGGAGGGGACGGCTGGACCGGGCAGCAGCCCCCGAGGCCCCCACTGGCGAGCTGCGTCCAGCGCCAGGGAAGGAGCCCAGGGGCCTGGCCTGTCCCCACCAGCCCTGCCCTGTGCCCGCAGGCTGGCGAGGGCTCAGCTGGCTGCTGGGTCCTGGGATGCAGGAGGCCGCGCCCTGCACACATGGCAGCTTCCGTCCTGCCGCCCCTCACAGGCCGGATGCTCCTCTCGGGAGTCGCTTCGAGGCGGAGGGTCATTGTGACCCGCCTCTGCTCCCGGGGGGCTCTCACGCAGCTGCCCAACTGTGCAGGGGGCACACAGCCTCCTTCCATCCCCCTCCTCCCCCTCCTCTTCCTTCTCCTCCTCTTCCTCCCCTCCCTCTTCATCCCTCCCTACTCCCCTCCCCCTTCTCCCCTTCCTCCTCCTCCTCCTCCTTCTCCTCCTCCTCCTCTCTCCTCCCTCCTCATCCCTCCCCCCTTCCTCCTCCCTTCCTCCACCTCTTCCTCCTCCTCCCCCTCCTCCTCCCCTTCCTCCTCTCTGCTCCCTGGCGCCTCTGGCCCAACCGCCCCGTGTGGGACAGGCTGAGCCTGCTTGGCAGGAAGTCCAGGCAATGACCCCGGGTACCCCTTTCTCAGGGGGAAAGGCAAGGGGCTCGATGCTCCTGTCCGGGGGTCCCCAGGCGGGGAGCGTCCTGGGGTGCTCCAGGAGGACAGGCAGCCTGGCCACGTCTGCACACACAGTGGTGCCGGCAGTGAAACTCAGAGTCTAAATAGACTCGTCAGTGGTGAGGGGACACGGTGAGAGTCACACGGGAGGAACTTTATTACGGGGATTAAATATTAATTGACAGATGGGAACGTGTCCGGC